CAATTGTTGTTTACAAAAAAAATTCAGGGCGAATTTATATAAAGAAAAATATTAACTTTTTTATGTAAAAAGTATTTGTACAGTTTTATTTTTATATAAATGTATAAATATTGTTGAAAACAATGAAAATGAAAGAAAACGTGAAATTGAATTGTATGTAATGAAATATTTTGTGATGCAATGCAAGTATTAATTTTCAATTGAAAATTATAAAAAACATTTATTAATTGAGAGTTAATATATTTATTCTTTTAATTAAGTATTAAAAGTTCAAAATTCAATTGTTTTATTATAATGCAAAGTCACAAAAAAGGGTTTGAATAGTTTCAGCATATGTTTAACGGATACATATTAGGGTGGAGCGAAAAAAATTAAAATTTTTGGACAAAAAAATTTTTTTTAACACCGGCGCACTCACTTTTTAAATAAATTTTCGAGTTAAATTTTTATATCGTAAAAAAATGTTTGACAAGTGTCAAACTGTAAAGAGTCCTCTTTCTGGTCAATTAAAATTTATCAACTTAAAAAATTTTTTTGTGGTCATTATAGGAGTTTTAAAAAAAAGTCTTAAATGACAACATGCTTTCCTTAAACGTTAAAATAAATTTTGAGTCAAATCTTATATATCTTAAATAAACGTGAAAAGTTTAAACCAAAAATTATTGTTTTTTGTCCAAAAAAATTTTAAGATTTAAAATATTTTTAACAATATTAACTTCTCATTTATTCAATAAAAGAAAAAAATTTGTTTTCCTATCAGTCACTATGCTCAAAAAGTGTATTTTGATTTAATACCAAAGAAAAAACTTGAATTAATATCAAAGAAAAAAATAAATACGGCATTAAAAATAAATAAAAATTTATAATTGCATAAGTTGTTAGAAAAGGCTATGCAATAGCTTAACCGCGGCAGTCCCCGAGTGCCACACGTACATTTTTTTTATTTTTTTGTTTGTTGTCAGCCAACTACTGGTCATTTTCGCCATGCATATTAGTATTAAGTAAACTATGAAAATAAAGCAATAATTTTTTTAAATAATTAAATTAGATATTTGATTCAAAACAAATTTTTTTAACTACTAAATTAAGTTTAAAATCCATGACTAAAAATATTACATAATGTTTGATTAAAAAACTATTAAATTTTAATTAATGAAATAAAATATTAATATTACCTTAATTAACTTTTAATTCAAACTTGAATCCACTTTTTATTAAACCTATTAATTTCTAGTTATTTAGATTGAGTTTCGAACTAATTTTGTAATTAACAAAAAGTTATTTAATAAAAATTAAAAAAGTGCCTTATAATTGACTTTTAATAAATAGTTATTAATTTTTCTTAAACCAAATCAAAAATTCATTATTTAATTATAATTTTATACAAAACTGCAAATTTGTTTGTTTTTTATGTTTACTTGTCATTTTTTCACTTTTGAAGATGACATTTGGCACATATCAGCGCTCTTTCTGCGCCAATATCTCTAAAGTGAAGGGAAACATGACAAACTATTTAAAGGCGACAATGGAAACATAGCCGATTGACAGCCAGATGCACAGATAAAACGAAGAAGATGCACTTTTAGAGGCATACTCGCGCATATAAGCAGATACGTGCCGTTTCGACGTGCACAGCTGTCTCCGATTGCAAAACACATGCACACACATACAATTAAATACAATTGAAGCATGACTCTTATATGTATAGATGCACCAATTTGCTGGCACGTTGTGGTTCATTTATTTTAATGAACTTGTTTAGCGCATTATTTATAGTTGCGACATTCTAAAGCTAATACTTAGCACCAAATCAGGCATCAGATAGCGAGCGCAAGTGTTCGTTAATTTGTTTGCACATAATATATTGCATACACTTTTCTATATACTAACCCATATCTGAAGTCAGATATGCATGTGCATACGAAAAAGTTTCGTTTGGAAAACGTTTATCGTGTAACAGTAATCATGCTTTTGTTGAAAATTTGCAGTGAACTGAATGAATGGATTATTTACAAGTAAAACAGTATTATGTATTTTTTGAGAAATAAATAATCAAAAGGCAGTTATGATACAAATCTTTAATTCAATTTTAATTAAAAATTCAAAAACAAGAATTGTTATCCCTACTAATATTATAAATACGAAAGTAAACTACTAAACCGATCATCATGAAACTTTGTACACATATGTCTTATGATATTGGAGAGAACATAGAATATTTATTATTAAAAACTAAATATATTTTTCACGAATTGAGAAATTATACTTTTTGTAAAATAAATTTGAAAATTGAAAAATATTATTTTGGCAGATATGATTGTTTGTCGAAAAATTTCAAAATGTAACAAAACAAAAATGCTTAAAAGCGTAAATTGATGAAATTAAGGTTTTCTGGTTACCACCACTACCACGAGGATGAGCATCACTATATACATTATACTATTATTATTATTATAGTAATATTCGTTAATGTACACGATATGTAGATGTATTGTATTAAGTATTTTTTTTTTTTTTTTTAATTTTGATTTCTTTTATTTATTTAAGGGATTTATTGCGAGCTGAGCTGCCGGAAAAGATAGTATTATATATTTAAAGAAAATTATTGCAAGCTTTTTGAACTCTTTTCTATAATAAAAAATACAGTTTATTAGATTTTTACAATATTTTCTTAAAGTGAACAAAAGCTTTAATCCATTTTTTATTGTTACAAAAATCGCTCATTATTTTATTGTCAAGTTGAAAGTTTCTGAATGATTGAATAAACTGTTCACGCACTTTTGAACCATTTAAAGATTTTCAATAAAACTGATTGACTACAACAAAAGACTTAAGCAACAAACTCGTCTCGGTTTGAATTCTTACTAATAGAATTCCAGCTGAATAAATTGCCTACTTATAGGCGCTCTATTTTCTAACTGACTCGATCAACAGTTTGAAAGGCATGGGAAAGTTTAATAATCCGTGGCATATTGTAATATTCATATTAGGGAGGTTGTCTATCTTGGCGTTCAAATTTCGTGTAAAGTCTTGGTGAGTTGCAAAAACATTCTACATAGAATTTTTTTTACTTAAAGTTTTTAAGCGCAGTTATGACTTCACATACGCTTTTTTGAAAAGTTGAAAATGTAACAAAATGGCAGCGATTTAAAAAATATGCATTTTTTTACCATGTGTTTTCCAGAAAAGCTCGTGTCTAGGCATAGTGAGATGTTTTGTGAATCTGTAAAAATGTACAGTTCTCGAATGTCTTTAATAGTTTGGTCAGAATCGTGCCAAAACTTGAGAAAAAAGCAATACTTCTGAGAAAATTGGTTTAAAGATAAATTATAAAACATGAATAGTTAGTTTAGTGCCGGGTTTGTGGCTTGATATTTCGTTAAACAACACGGTTTCGATTAAGTTCTTTATAAGTAGGTCAACTCTCTAATTATTGCCACTTTTTAGGTGAAATCCCATATCTCAGGAACAATTTTATTCAATTTCGTGCATATTACTCTCGAAAGATAGGTAAAATTGGACTACAACTATGCTTACTACTTATATAATACAATTTTAAATTCCATTTGACCCTTACAAGCTTTTAAGAGCTTTTTGTTGCGTCTTCAAAATGCTATGATACTTGCGATAAATTTTCTTTAATGCCTTCACATACTCCGTATACAAGATGTCGCCGAAATTTTAGAGTAATTGAAAATTAGCATCACAAAAATTTATTATTAAAAGAAATACTAAAAAGCTTACAGCTAAATTATTCTTAAATTATTCTTACACGAAAGAGTTTTCCTTCATTTTTTTTTTAGTTAAAAACAAAATGTTTCCCTATTTAACTTCAAAAAAAAATGAATATGCAACAAACAGTATTTAAAAGTCATTTAATTGCAAATAAAACTTTGCCTCACTTGGTGTTAGAAAGTTAGAATAAATTTGAGTAATTACAACGGCTTTTTCGTATGCGCAGCACATCAGTTTTTTCCTCCACATGTTTGTCAACGTAATATGAATCATATTGGCTTTTCATGAGCAATAACTGAATTGAATTGTTTTGATTTTTCATTTAAAAAATTCAGCTGTTTTAATAATGTCAAATCTATCTTTGCAACACCAATTAGACTTCAACTGAAAATAGTTGAAGTAATACCAAAAAAAAGTTGGGTTGTATGAATACTTCAACTGAGTCGAATTTGACTCAATAAAATGCATGACTTAAACGAATTAAAATATTATTCCTAACATACTAAAAAAAGCCTACGAAAATATCATAATTTGAGGATGTTAGCCACCTGCTTGAACAGTTTAATTCAAATGAATTAATAAATGAATGCAACCAATATTTTTGACAATTCTTTGCGATGCATAAACTATTCTGAGTTGAATCAACAATTTAAACAAAGCACTTCTGTTATTCAAGCCAATCTGTGAACCTTCATAATACTAAATAAATAAGCAATGTAAATATTGAAAATAATAATTATTACAAAATATAATTGTCCCAACTTCTAACATAAATATGAATGTTTAAGAAAGCTTATAGTTTCAAATATTTACAATTAGGACAGGTAATAAACGATTCATCGGATCAGCCAGTACGTACGTAAATGAAAACGGAAATATTATTACCGAAAACCAGCCTTAAATCTTAAGATGCCCCAGACCATTCTGCTATTTTAAAGGTGGCTTTAATCAATGGGTTTTGGAACACCAGTAATACAGGGCATACGACAAAAATGGAAGTAAGTAAGTACTGTTGATAGTAAAGGAAAAAGGAAGCTTAATGAATTTTAGGCGTATTTACAGGGATTCAATTTCGAAGATCTAAACTTCATAAGCTTGGTGAACTAGAATAAGCAGAATGCAGAGCATGCGCGGAGCATTATGAGACGCTATAACAATAGCTTCGCGAATGTCCAGCCTGGAAAAAAGTCAGATGTTTCACCAAATCCAGTAAGTTGCTGAGCATGAATGTAAAAAAATTATTTTTTTAAAACAACTGTGTCCTAATATGTTATTATTCGATTTTATTAATAAAACTATATTCAATACATATGCATACACGCTTTGTCTATAGGTTTATAATAACTTTAAATCATAATAAATACGTAAATATATACACTTAATAAATAATTGATAAAGTGCCGAGTATCAATCTCATATACTCTTTGAATAATATCACAATTTAAGAGTTACAACTAAAAATTATCCGGTAGATTTTGTGTGGCTAGGTCCACTAACGGTCCCTCGTCGACGGTGTAATTGCTGGGAAACAAACGCGTCACTTCCTCGAGCGACAACTTGACCGGCAGCGCGCTTACCTGATGTTGTTGTAGACCAAAAGCACGAAAATGATAAATGAAATACTCATACATATACATGCGCCAGGGACTGGTATAGTGGAAAGCAATCGAGTAGTTTGAACAACAATTCAAGCCCTAAAATGCAATTAATAATTTAAAGTCGCTTTTATTGCATTATTGCATTGCGTGATTCCACGACTAACTTACGCGCTCAACCGCATGCGGTGTCATGGTAAGCAGCCATTCGGAGATTTCCGTTGTGTTGTCGGTGCCCATGTAGGTTTGCAGATCAAGCGGCATGAATTTTGGTTTATCGTCGACACTCAATGCGAATCGTGCATCGGCGAGTTGTACGCCTACATTTTGCAAGCAAACTCCCATATAAAAGTCTTCAATGCCGAATTTCTGTGCACGCGGGCAGAGCGTGGAGTTGTGAAAGGCCAGAGTCATAAAGCGTCGCAGGGCTGCTTTACTGAGCACATAGGCGGCGCCACCGGACATATAGGGCTGGCAAATAAATGAGAATTTATGATAAAAATAACTTATAAACATAGGTATAACTAACTATAATAATAACTAACTATTTTCCATGGGAAAAAAACCGTATGGTCGCAAGGAAATTATATGCTCTGTTAAATGAGGGGAGTCAATTGGGTATCGAAACTGGAACAAACCTTTCTCGTTACATAACAGACGGCCGTGAATTCATACATCTACATTTTTGAAGGTTAGGTCTAAATCAAAAAAACTTTTTAGTATACCTAGTATTATCCATAACTTGGTGCATAAGTTATTATTTATTTAATTTGTTTACCTTAGACGCATCTGATATACTTCGATATCAGAATTAGTATTTTTTATAGTAGAAATGCAACAAACAATTGCATTCAACATTTTCGTACGATTAGTTATAACGATTTCCGACGTATGTATAAATGGCTTAACGCCGCAAAAATTCTTCTATATTCTAAAAATTATTAGGTTATAATATCGTGCTCAAATTTGTTATTGATATTTATAGGCTCTATCTTATTCTAAAACATTTTTAATGTCAGTACTCTTCTGTGCGGTTTTAATTATGTCAAATTCCAGACAGCCACAGTCAACCGCAAGAGAAAATTATGTTATCGCTTTGAAATCGTCCATTTACTGTCTGACAAGAAACTTTGAAATGCTAAAAAAACCACCAGCTAAAAAAGTCTATTAGCATAATGTTATATTTTATAAATACACTTTGTAAAAAGAAGCGATAAAATTGCTTCAGAAAAGCAGTATTTTCGAATTTGGCTAATATCTTAATATTTTTTTGGTGAAAGCATAAAAAGTTATATTATTGCCAATTTTCATATATTTTTTTGTAATTTTTTTTTTTGCATGGTTAAACCTGCGATCAAATTCATAATTAATTCATACATCAAACTTTCAACAAAGAAAAAAAACAAAAAACTCAGTGAGCAAAAAAATTTCAGTCGCTTCGTCGTAGGTGTTTGTCTTCTGAAGGCGTAACATAATTAAATTATCATTTATCTCTGCCAAACTTTTGCAGCCACCTTACAAATCGTTTAACGCTTGTTTTAATATTATAACATATTAACGTAACTAAATTTAATTAATGTCGAAAACGGTAAAGAAAACGTAAGGTAAACTTACGCCTATTAGAACCTTTTGCAAAACAAAAAAAATTAAATACGTTTTTTCAATCGGATGTAAATTTTTAATCCATGACATGTTCCGTGTTTAGCTTAATCAACTGAAATATATGTATATCTTCTGCTCACAGACTCTTCAAATATGTGCGATTAAACTATTAGAGTTTTGAAAAATAAATGATTACAACATTATATCCATGAAGTAGCAAACAATACGAATAGCACAGCTAACCAAGATGCCCATTAAGCATAATCGTTTTATGTGATTTTTTGGAGAACTTAATTTTCATACATCAGCCACTGCCCAACCCAGCTATCATAGGTTATGTTTAGCTAATTGGTGTGTGGGTTTCAAATAACCGCAAAGTAATATTAAAGCAATTTTTCGATGAAAATATTAAACAAAACTTCAACGACTTAATACAATATTACATCATACATATTTGTATGTATGGCTACTTTTAAACCTCTACACATACGAGTTTAAACATATCTCAGCTTCAGCGCTGAATTTAATTACATTGTTACGCCTTGACTTCTCGCGACTAATAATTGAATTTGATTAATGCCTTGATGAAAAAAAAAAACAAGCAAAATTTATAAACAGATTTGTTAGTGAGATCGGCGATTTGAATTGATCGTAGTTGATACGTTATAATAAAGTAACAACACGAAGAAAAATTTGAAATTTTAAGATTTACAAATTTATTCGGTGTCTAATAGGCTTAAAAGTTGTTGTGAAATGTTGATAAGATTTACAAATTAATTACTGGCCTTAGTTTTGGATAGTTTCGTCAGCCTTCGAGATGTAGTAAAATCTGTATGTATTTTGTATGCTCATTTTAATATTTGTACTTAATATTTTATAAAATTGCTCACTTTGTTTCTAAATCTTCTAGAATGGTTTGATTGCTCAACTTCACAACAAACCTTGGAGTAGACTTAACATTTTAGTGTTAAAATTGTAAATTTCTTAATCTTATGGTATCAAAAACTATGATATGAACCTTGAAAGAAGTCTACGAGTTTATTAGCAATATCTGTATTGATTTTGTGGTCGCAAAATGTTTGTATAATTCGAGATTTGCGTGAGATTAGTAATTACAACCTACTTATGGGCTTACAAGTAATCGCATAAATTTTTATGTTAGTATATATTTGACACCTTTGCAAAACGATTGACCAAACCTGCCATCCCAAAATTAAAAATATAAATTTTACAAGTTCTTTTCTCGATATCGGACCACTATAGCATATAGCTGCCACATAAAGTGAACGTTCGAAATCAAGCTTTTGTAAGGAATATTTTTTATTTGTGAACGCTATTATAACTTCGGTGCAAACGAAGTAACTTTTGTTCTTGTTTTTTTACATCATTAATGGTTATTGCTTTTCTCAAAGTTGTCCAAAAAACACAACAGTCGGCCGGCAAGGTTTTGATCAGTATTTTTTGTAAGTCAATGTAATTATATTCATCGATTATCTGGAATTTGACAAAATAATCTATAAACAGTATTACTATGCCTTATTGAATCGATTGTATGTCAAAGCCACCTTATTTGGCGAAGAAAGTGTTGCCCTTTCACAAAGCAAAAAACTCCAGCTCATTCAGACTCATTGCGATATGTTGGTTAAATAAAATGCAAAACTAACTGTCATCGTTGCATTTAGCCCATACTTTATGTGAAGTTTGTACTCCATATGTCAATCAGCTGTTTGTTTACGTTGCCAAAAGTTTGTCTAGTCCGGGTCAAATTTTATCTAGAATGCATAACAAGGTAGTTTATTAGAACAGTTCTTTCTTATGTATGGCACATAGCGAATAAACTCATTTTCGTTCATCTAGCTGAGTAATAGATATTTTAAACAATATCCTAAGTGCTTTTGCATTTTGTCAAATAAACAGCGAACAAATCAATGAAATTCACAATGATATAAACTTACGGTTTCCATCGAATAGAAAAACATTTTTAAAATGACAATAAGCTGCCAATTTCAACAAATTTCTTAAACGCATCATTTTAAATGAATTTAGTGACATACACAATTGTCAACGAAAATAAAATTGTTTTGACTACTACTGTCATTGAATTTGGTATAATGAATATGGTACATTAAACAACAATTTTACTAAATTTTCCAAAATACCCATGTCATGATATGTATTGTTCATAATTTAATATTCTTCTATTCCTAAATTCCAATTAATTCTTTATTATGCAATATGGGAATTTCTCCAAATTTTTGAAAATATTTAATATGCATAATAATTAAAGATTACCATTTACGTGATGCTTCTATCTTACCAAAAAATGACTCGAATGCGGTTTTGATTTCTTTGCTGAGTTGCTTTTATTCAACAAAATTTATTCTTCGTTCAATTAGCGGCTGGGACTATTGTGGGCATATCACTAGCAAATGAGATGCAAATATGCGCCAACAAAATACATAGGAATGTGTATGGAAGCAGATATTTACCTCATCGCTTACGGCGAAGGTACCAATAGCGCCACAGCTCGCCCATAGACAATTTTATATAGCTTCTTTGAAAATGTTGACTAATTGCCGCGAATAAAGAAAAAATTTGCAAGTAAAAAAATTTGCGTATTCCAAAAGCTGCGGTATTTTTCTGCATAATGGCTATAATCATTATTAACTGCATAAAACATTGGATGATACACGCAATTAATTTCGAAAACGCAAACCGTAAACGCCCATAATTACGGGTTCTCATAGAAATATCACTAATAAAAACAATAAAACCGGTAAATGCGGTGGTTTTTTATTAAATAAAATTTTAGTAACAAAATAAGTTATATACATACAACACATAATATCTCAAATATCTTTATACATTGAAGATTTTTACACAATGGATAAGTTCTTGTATTATATGCGGTTTTCTTTACGTCAAATTTAATGACAATCACGGTTGTAGTGCAAAGTAGTCGATTTTTTTTAATTAAAATTTTAATCGTTTTATTACAATTTTACTATTGTAAATGTAGCATCATTAAATTTGACATTATATACACATTGGTCTGTAAATCTAGAAACCGGTCTGGTAAATATACTTTATAGCTATGGACATAAGGTAACATTATTTGAGAGATATTTCCAGCGTAACCTATTAGGTATATTTAATTATCGAATAAATAATTTAACAAAATGAATATGTGATCCTAAACTGAACTAAGTTGAAATGAAAATGTAAATTGACTTTTAAAAATATTTTAGAAATATTTACGGATCAAAAATGGCTGATGGAGTGTGCGCCGGGATCTATTGCGCGGAGCTTGATCTCAGGTGACACTTCAAGCTTCCGGAATACTGCAGTATCTTCCAATCAGAAGGCAGAAGTAGGTCAGAAAAGCTGCTGAGATAGCTTACAACGCAGGAAATGACATAAAGAATATAAATATCTACGTCGACAGCCAAGTGGCAATAAAGCAATAATCTCACATCGCATTATGTCAGAGAATGTCTTTAGAAGCAGCATATGTACTGAGTTACAGACCACACGGGCGTTGCGGGAAACGAAATGGCTGCTAAAGGTGCCATCCGCTTGACTCCCGAACCAATACAAGATATACGCAAATCGTTGAAAAGGATACACAATGAAATTTCCGGATCAGGGTGAGTGGTGGGAACTTCGCAGTTCAAGGGACTGGTTGAAGTATCATAATTAATCAAATTCGCAAAAAGCGTTGACATGCTGTAGGACATAAACTTCCGCTCGTATTATTCAACCTCCATCTGGCACTACAAATGACCTGTAGGTCTATGTACGGCGTAACAGCCAGCCAGTTTAACCTAACCTTTAGCAATATTGCGCCACTTATCTGCTAAAATTTTGGGCCGAATATGAAATTATTTGATGCAAATATAAACTCCAAGAGACCTAGCAACTTCAAAAAATATTACTATTTGGGTTGTTGTTATTCGTTAGAAGCAAAAAGTATCGGTCACGTTTTTGACCAGACATCCGGTTCTAATCAACGTATAAAAATATATTCAGTGTATTCTCGAAACTAGGATATGTTTCTCGAAATTGTATCAAAATAGTTTAAATCATGTTTAAATATTTATGTTGCAATTTGTATGGATACTTATCACTACAGTTGATTTAAGTGTAAAGATTGTAGTAGCTTTAACTGCAAATATGTTTATTTAATATTTTGTTAAGTTTTATTTACTTGTAATATGATGAATTTTGTGGCTTTATCTAATTACTTTTTAGTTGCTGCACAATATTTTATGAATATGCAAATCATCACAGTGCACTGCATGGAAACCATTATAATGTTTTAATATCCTCTACTGTTTCTGTAAGTAAATACCGAAGTTTAATTTCAAAATTATTAGCATGAGATTACTATATTTTATGTTATATTTTGTACTAGCCATCAATAAATTAAATATTGGCAGACATTTACGAACGCTAAAACAAACCGGAAATGTATTTCTGTACAATGACGCAACCGCCTGTAAACACCGTTATATTGACACAATATCAACCAACTGTATTCAATTTTGCATAATTTTCGCTGTTCTATATGCGAGGAATTTCCTTGGCGTTAAATTTCGTTCTCAACAAACAAACTCTGTTTTGCTATAAGTGAACTGGTTGGTGTTACAGACCTACAGAAATCAACTATCGCTGCTATACACCATAGTGCTCTAGTAACACTACTACCTGTGATTATTATACAAGTATTATGTGATTAATATTACATTATTAATATCCTTTTTAAAGGACCCAAACGAACGTGGCTTGGTTTTGTCCAACCATATCACGAGTCTTTAGGCATCATCGTAATTTTTTTTTTGTAAGCGAGTAACAAAAGAACGCTCAACTATGATACAATTTTCTAGAAGTTATTTAAAAATGTTGGTGGCATCTATACTGTTAGATACTACATTTGGTTAAGGCAAAAATTAGGATAGTTTGCTTTCTAACTAAACAACCATTTTGTATGATAACAAAATATTATTTTTACGGTTGCTTAAACGAACGATAGAAACAATGATTTCCAGAACACTCCATAAGGCGAATAACAATTATTATCAAAAAATAGAGCGACGTCACATTCTGCACCTTTGGATACACCAATTTAGTAGTGTCTGCTATGTTAAGAGACAGTATAAATGTTGAAAATAAATTTTGAAAAATTTAAATAAACAGTTATGTATTTGCAGCTTTCTTTTAAACTACTCTTAGTTTGAATACGGAAAAATTACGGCTTGGTATAATTATTAGCACAAAAATAAAATATATTTTGTTTCCCCCTGTGTGAACTGGTGCTGTTTGCTCATAAAAAATATATCAAGTGCCTTTATTCGTTCCATATCTTTTGCTCTCCCTTTTGCTTAGTACTACTACATGAACTGCTTACCCTAGAAACGGTGACTATCACTTGGAAAATATTTTGGAAAAAATCGGCAATAATAAGTAGCTGAGTTGCTGTAGATATTGTGGCTAACGCTAAACTAGCAGAATATATTGTGAAATGAAGCTTAATTTCTTACACGAATGCATCTTCGAAACACTACAGTTTAAATAAAATGTTATGGATGTTAGGTTTTTTACTATTAAAAAAACACTAACAAGCAAAACGAGTTAATATTGTTAATACTTTATCAGCGACAATTTAGGGGCAGACAAGTCTGAGAATGTTAGCTGAGGAAATAAGTACGAGTAAAAACACTACGTGGAGAATTTTACCTGAAGACACATGAATTAAATGAAGACCAAAAAAGTGAATTGCTTTTTTTATGAAAACCACTTCCGGTATTCGCCTGACCTGTAAATATGTGATTATTTTCTATTTCTTTACCAAAAAACAACATGAAAGTAGCATCTTAGAGACATTCCTATAAATGACATAAAAAATATAGCCATGAGCTCATTAATCATTGCAAACGTTGTATTCCATTGGATCTTACTTTGAAGAAATAATAACTTTCAAAATACTTTTTATCATACAAATGTATGTTTATCCAAAAAGTTCGGTTCTTTTTAGGACTATTTACCTTGTAGGTAGACTACAGTGTCTTTAAAAGTTTTGAAAGTAAATTGAAAAATGCGGTTTCAGCAAAAGACACTTTCGATATTAAAAATCTGTGATGACAGACCGGCTTTTTGCTTTTGCTTTTGGTACTTTATTTTTAAGGCTAATTCTCTTTTCAAGCTGACCTTTTGGGGAGTAAATTATTGCAACAACTTCAAACAATGCAGCTGCACGAAACTTTATCGTTTGGTTTTACCTGGGGCGTACTGTAAAGATATTAGATTCTATCTAATGCTTAGCCCGAGCTATACGTATTAAATATGTTCATTTTACAGTCAAAAGTAATTTGAGCGCTGGTATGGTAATTCACTTTATGAAAATGATATGTTCGTAAGTGCTGGATGTAGAGAAATATAGCTGTACATATTTGTTGCTAATAATATTCATAGATTCTTTGAATTTCTCTTGAATAAACAGTAATGCGTATGTTTAGCTCAAGAACTTGTTAATCCTGTTACTATGTTATTACCGTTAATTCCGCTTATTCTTTGCGCCAACATCTCAATTTCAACAAGCCAATTATTAATTGCGATAAAAATTAACGCATATAAACCGCTTATAAAATTGTTAACAAAAATTTTAAATATTTTTGTTTAAAACTACAGAAATGAATAAAAACACACAAATTAATAATTACATGCGAACATATGAACGCTAAAGGAAGTGTGGCATCACAAATGAAGACAGCTGCCAAACACTCGTCGACAAGTTCAACACAGTTTTTTTGAATATTATTAATTATTCAAAATTTTCAGCACAATAGCAAGTGTACACATACACAAGTATGTACATAACATGTCTAACTATTCATACTTGTAGTATTAGCGGCTTTTTGCTTGTCTCAGTAGGTGGTGTGAATAAAAAGATTAATAGCAACAATTTAAGATAGCATTAAGCATAAATACACATTAACATAGACACATAGTAGTATGTAGTATTTTATTCAGAAATACTTAAATTTACAAGTTTTGCTATTATTGCTAACTAGTTTAGCAAATGTCTGTATTAATATATATTAATATCGACACTTAGAAACACCCTAGTGATGACTTAAGCTACTGTTAATTACTGAAGTTTTTACAAAATATGATAAGCTCAGAATTGCTGTAGTTACGCGTGTTTTCAATATGTTTTGAGAAAATATCTTTAACTTTAAGTGTTTGCATTTTGCCGCCAAATGTTTGGGGCGCTCACTGTCTATAAATCACGTGTGGCATTTAAGCATTTAATTTTATTGCTTGTTTGCATAATTTATTATTGAAATTCAATTTTGAACACTTGATGAGCATCCGCCTAAGGTATACAAATATTAAGAGAGCTCTGTTTGGACATAATTGTGTCGTTATTGTGCGCATGCGTGGCCAACGACGACACATAAGAGCTTTAACGTTGAATGAGTTAATTAAAACACTAAATGGTAGCAATAAAGCTTTTTCGGCATTTCATCGAGATGCAGCTTTTTAACTAATTGGTGTCTAATACAGACACTCGCACTTATATATATATTATATATATATATATTTTATATACTTACCACACCATAACGCACCAGCTGATAGCCAAAATAGATTGAATGTCCGGGAATATGCGTAAAGCATGTAACGTAAATTTTCCATAACCATGTAACTGTAATGGAAATGAAATGTAAAGAAGTTAATTAATTTTCTTATCGATGAAGTGACAGTATTTGTCGCTTATTAAATATTATTGCAAAATTATAACAATTTATATAAGGCACTGTGCCGTATATGGCAGTTGTATGATATAGCCATGCATTTCGATTTATTCAGAAATTGTAGCGTTGCTTTGAAATTATATGCTAAATTTCTTGAAGATCACACAGTTGCTAGTCCTTTATAGCCATTGAAAGTTTGATGTAACAACCTTAAAAGATCCTTCATGACAAAAATTAGTTCGATATATCAAAACTGTGAGACTAATTCGCGTGTATACAGACAGACAAACGGACATGGCTAAATCAACTCAGCTCTTCACGAAATACTAATTTTGAATGGGAAAGCAAAAAAAAATTTGACGACCTTTCCCGCAATTTGTGGATACCATGCTAATAGTATAAATCTATGCGAACAATTCCAGTCATCGAAAATTGATTCAACGGATGAACCATCTGAGACGAAGCCGCGGCCAACATTGAAAAGATGATCTTAAAAATAAATACCAAAGAATGTTCTTTCGAATGATAATAAACATTCCCATTAAATTTGAATTTTCTGTTTTTGTTTTTTTAAAAAGTAGGGAACCTCGAATGGATGCTAATAAATTGTTTGTCTTTTGAAGCAGAAGTGCTGTTCAGCAATACTCGAGTGGGCAGCAGCTCCACCAAGAACTTTATTTATCCTGAACGATTTTGCTTTGTGTGCAGTGCATTATCGTGTAACAAAATTACTTGCGTGTCTCTGCCATTTTGCGTTATTCGATCAAGACATGGTTCAAATTGCTGTCTGTAGCGATTTGTATTAACAGTTGCATCAGGTTTAGAAGCTCATGATATACACACCTGATCTCACCCAGACTTGCAATCTTTCTTTAAATTGTTTGTTGTGCAACATTTAGCATAGCTGCCATTTGCTTTTCACTCAGAGTCTATCTTCATACAATATTATTTCCGAACTTTGTTCGTTTTATTTCTCACATCAAAATCATTATCTCTGAACCGTTAAAACCATATTTTGTAGGTTTGTTCTGATAGAGCATGATCACCATATGCCTCGCAAGCATTCGTTGCGACTCTTCAACACTTTTCTTCAAATGGAAACAAAAAAACCATGCTTTCCGCAAATCATCACTTTCGGTACAAAGTTTGATATTTTCAACCAATGAAAAATATGATGTTGTTTGTTCAATGACTGTAAGGTTATAGAATATGTTTGACAGATGCCATG